AGCGTTTCTTATCATTTATCTAGGGATGTTATCGGTATTTGTCGGGTATCAGGCAGTTAAGATTAAAATCAAACCCTACACTTATGTGGTCGTATATAATACCGTGCTGGGTATTGATAAGGTACATCAATACAATTTATGTGTGTGTGGATGGGTGCACATGTAATAGGTCACGTGTGCTTCACAACAGAACAAAATACAAATATTATGTGGTTTTGTCTCTGATTGTTGGTTCCAATTCTGACCTCGTTCAGTAGCCGTTATAGAACCGATATTACATTACAATGTCCATACCTTTCATTTCAGTTATAATATACCCCCTCTCTCCCTCTTTCTATCTCTGTCAAATACACACGTACACCACCTTTTCACAGGTACATATTACCCTACCCGTGACATTAGTAGCAGTTGTGTCATCCTCTCATTAGTGACGACTATTGTTTGACCCTATTCAAGATAACAAACACCTTCTATCAAAGGACATATTTTCCTCGCCTATCCCTTTCAAGGTAAGGATACTACCGCCATAATCGGCCCCATCCTCGTCCACATTACTACCTCTCTACCGAAACGTAACTACAACATACTAACGTTTACTTACACCCCATCGCAGTAACCATTTACACATTATATCCCAGACAATTCTTTTAAAGCCCGTTCCGTTAATACATTTCATGTTTAATACTCACACCCTCGCCTTCAAGGTCGCATTGGAATCTCACTCCGGATTAAATCCAAAGTAATTGCTGGTGAATATATCTCATGTTGTGTATTTACAACATTATTAGCATAACGGATAGCATTGTGTATGTAAGGTCGTATTAATTGTTAATAGATGCAAACGATGGGTAAAGGTGGCGTTGGTTAAAACAACGTATTATAGTGTGAAAGGACCATTGTCATAACTAATAATGTTAATACTTGATAATGTTAATGGGAAAGGGGACAATCGATTCAACTGACATTGAATTACTTCGTATTGACTGCTTTAAACTTGTGTTCATGTTGACTACAGGTAAAATATAATTGATTTTAACATTATCCCCCTCCTCCTGTTAAAGATATGTCTCCGAGGTCATATGTAATATTTAGCACAGTGTTGTATTTTCCTTTGGAATTTCGTCCTGAAATAGTTAAACGATGACACATATAAGGATCACATTTTAAGAAAGTTTATTTCAGGTTATATGATTTTACAATTTCTTTTCCAGTGCCACAGATGCAGCAAGACCTCATTAGTTTGAATAAGTCAGTCAAATTACCACGTGACAGTTTCTTATTATGTATTAAGATGGACATTCACCCGGTGGCTGCGTGTATACAAATGTCTGCAGAACACTTTCAATCACTATAACAAGTGGGAGCATCTCTCCTTCCTGAAGCTTTATATTAACACGGGCGTCCAATGGATACCCAACAACTATTAAGGGCAATTACGAATTGTTATTATGATCAATAGATAAATTCAACGTCAATTAAAACGTGCCAGTTGCTCAATTTTTTTAGAATATTCAATCGATGGATTTTTGACAAATTTTCCAAACCCCGCCCAATTTGACATTTTTGGTCTCACGCTTTTTCCTCATATAATAATAATGATAATATACAACATTTATATAGCGCCCTATATGATTTGTAATATTACTCTAAGGCGCTTTACAACAGATGTCTTGGGACGGAACATGCGTCAGGGAACTGTTGACGTCATCAGATGGAATTCAATCTCCACATGCAATATCTGTTTGTGGTGACACATTTGTGGTAACTAGTACTGGTACTACAGGCGATAACTTTATCCGTGTCTTTCAGCTGTACTAATTAAGATAAACGAAAATCAATGTGTGCTGAACACTAAGAATGTAGGTGCACATCGTAAAGACAGAATAAACACCGTGCATAGATTTATATAATTTTACCTCAGACAATTAGGAGCTGGTGTAAACACAAAAGCAATCAGTTTCTCAAAATGTTTAGGACGTTTTAGTGTGATTGTGTACAGCCTATAGCTGTACAACAAAGCAAATCAAATCAAATCAGATACTTAAATTACATTGTTTTATCTGTATTACTTATCATTTGTACAAAGTATGTTAAGTGTATTGATAATTAGTACACGTGCTTTATAAAATGAGTAAATAGACACCACCTGATTATATCTTTGTTTCCATGTGAATTATAAAACCAATAGATATGCGTGTTATCGACATAGCGTGAGAACGATTATAAAATCATATAAAGATAAATGTTTGATACAACCACGTAAGTAATAACAAGAAGAGCTATGGAAATAGACGTGGACAGGGAAGGTAACATCTATGTGTGTGATCATTATTCACACAGCGTAAAACAATGTGTGCTGAACACTTAGAATGTAGGCGTATATCGTAACGACAGAATACACACCGTGCATAGATTTATATAAATTGTACTTCAGACTTTAAAGAGCTGGTGGTAACACAAAAGAATTCAGTTTCTCAAAATGTTTAGCAATGTTTTAGTGTGATTGTGTAAAATCTATAGCTTTATAACAAAGCTAAACAAATACAATCATATATTTGAAATACATTGATTGTTTTATCTTTATTTTATATTATATATACATATAAATAGTATGTTTAGTGTATTGATAGTTATACGTGATTTATAAAATGAATGAATAAACACCACCTGATTATATCTTTATTTTCGTGTGGTGTTATCGACATAGCATGAGAACGACTAAAACACATTCACATATATAGATAAATGTTTGATAAAACCAAGTAAGTAATAACAAGGAGAGCTATGAAAGTAGACGTGGACAGGGAAGGTAACATCTACCTGTGTGGTCATTATTCACAGAATGTCAAACATATGTCCATGAACTAGACACACGTCAGAGAACTACGTCATACAATTAAGAGCTCGGGTAAACACTACAGGAATCAGTTCCTCAAAAAGTCAACGAACCTATAGCTTTACAACACAATAAATACAATTGTAAAACAATTGGACTATATTTTGTGTTGCATCCATAGGAGAGATATGAAATCCGAGTTTTTTAAAATATATTGATTCCGTAGAAATTTGGTACGTGTTGTCAGCACAATGTGAAAACACCGTACAGACAGAATATGTTATAAAGAAATTGAGCAAAGTATTGTATACACGAGCATGTTAATTTCATTTCAAATTTCAGTACAATGTGTTTATACAGAAAGACTACCGACCTCAGTAGTCAGTACAACGTGTATGTACCGTACAGTAAAACGACCGACTTCTGTAGTCAGTATATCAGGTGTGTGTTAAACATTTGTATTCAAATAAAAACAAAAATATTTACAATGTACTTGTTTTAACAAGGTTCTTGTCCTTGTTAACAAGACTCAGATATTGTTTTGTATACATTTGTGTAATTAAAAACCCTGAGATGATAATACGATGACACATATCAAGCCCAGGTTCATATCTATATACAGTATATTAAGGGGTATGCATGTTCTAGCAATTCTCTGTATCGGGTCTGTGAATGCCATATGCGTTCCCTATCGGGTCTGTGAATGCCATATGCTTTCATTTGGGTTGAACAGTATGCGTCACATTATCTTATGGCAGTTTCTCGTTTTGCATTATAAGAGGCATCAAATAGATTACAAATCGACATATTTAAAATAAAACATATCAACATGGTCACGTATCCAGGAAAATATAGCCACTTTGTACCTGTACTTTAGTTTTCTCAACCCGGGGCATTTACGTAACTTGCGAAAGTGTGAAAACCAGATAAAGAGGAGCTATAGACCAAACCGAATGCAAATACCAAATACTTAACGTCCAGTTGTGTTTTCATAACTGTCATACGGTATCACATATCAGCTGTCTTTGTTAGACACATGCTAGGTAAAACTCCTGTCAATAATCAAAATGTTATTTGCCTGTTCTGTTACCTGGGAGATAAACCCATTATTGACAGTATAACGGTCACTGTTATGCTGTGTACATGTAACATGTATTGTACAATTTAACATAATCCTAATTAATTTGATGAGAACTATATATATATATACATATATATATAGTGTTTCTTATTCTATACGAGAGTTCCGAATTTTCTTCCTTCCGTAATGTTGTTCAACCAATTGTACCAAATCTCACATGTGTTCGGAAAGAAGCGCACAACGGGACGAACGATTGTTTAATCGCACAGCTGTGCGCACCATGTGTCATAGTCTTTAACCCTATATACGGGTAGTCCACTTCGCAATATCCTTTCTGCCACGGCAGATATTTCACCCGTCCACATCTCGTCGTATTCACGGCTAAATGGGTTACGGAGATGTGTCAATCTGTCAATCATGAACCTAAACGAATTTCTCACAACCTTCGTCGTATGTAGACAAACATCTTAAATTCGTAAATTCTCCACCAGACAGAGGTGTCGTTGCCTTAAAGACCTTTGATGGAGCCATGCCGTTAGTGCTATGGTAGGTATTGTTGTTACTATCGGCAAACAATTTGAGTTCTTCCAAACATTCATAGTTTCTTCTGTGTGTGAAATACATGTACATGCGAGTATTGATTGTTTTCAATACCCTTTCAGTGACTGCTGTTTTTAACTCGGTCTCTACGAACAGGTGTCTGATGCCATGCTGTCGGAGGATCACCTGAACCCCTCTGGCCTAACAGTATTGCCCTTTGTCGGTACAAATCCTTCTCGGTTGTCTCCCCTCATTATGCATGTCACGAACGGCGCTGGTAAGAGACACCGCTTTCTTAACCATTGTCCACAAGATCTAGGAGAACACATAGATGACCACAAGAACACAGGAATATCCCTCATTGTCATTCCAGATTGGTACCATATCCATAAGATCGGCACACCATTGGTCATCAATCCTAATAACGACTGTTCTGTTCTGTATGCTTCCTGTGTTGTAACCATTTCCTTGTCCTATATTTGCTGATGACTATTTCCCGGCCTTTCATACGTATCTATAGAGATTGTCGGGTCGGGAGAAACATCACTCGTCGTTGCCGGAGGTAGTGTCCTCCTCTTCATAGTCATTGTCCTCATCTGCGGGTTCATCATCATCATCATCGTCATCATCATCATCATACAAATGTTCTTGTATCTGGTGTCTGTATTTCCCTAGAGACATGCGTATGACAGGAAGGGTTTTGTAATCGCTTCGCATGTACCTCTCTACAGGCTGCTTGGTTTTTGTGTCTATTTAACCATTTCTTAGCTGTAAACAAATTTCGACAGTTCTCTCATATAAATTGAGGCACTCCATCATATCTTCTTCTTGCATTTTGTTATCAGCCTTACTTACAGGGTCTTTCTTTCAGTGTACATTCTCCTCATATTTTTTCTACCTTCTCACACCATTTTCGTGTTGTTAGCCTTTGCTCTTTTGCGTATCTCGTTGAAGTATTCACCCTCTTCTGAATCCTTCTCAGTGTCTGAGATATCGGGGCCATCGAAAAAATCCGACCTCTGTCTCTTTGCCGGACTTCGGACTTCTTCCTGGTCTAGTTTTCTTTTACGGGTAATATTCTCCGGATATCATCGTTTTAAATGCCTCTGCAGATCGAGCATATTGTCAAAAATCAGACCACAGTCGCAACACGAAGGCATTTTTTCCACTACGTTCTTCTGTCGAAAACTGTCCAAAGGATGTTTTCTGGCTATGTTTGCTCTTGGTTATTCAATCACTGACAATTTTGTAGAATCCGGATGTCCTGTCGGAGTGCTGGGTGTGAAACGTCTTTCCAATCCCATATCCTCACCTTGTATAGGCTGGTCCTTGAATACTTCACTGCGCATGCGTGCTGATTCTGGTGTCGACTGCTTCAAATCGACGAGGAGATATCCGTTCAGTTGGCTGGTAGCTTCTTTGAAGTGTCTCATTAAATGTTGGACATTTTCTGGGTACATCTGCCTGTCCAGAGTCATGACTTCCTGTTTGTCGATAGGGCTATTGAACAATACCAGGTAGTGGCAATTCCTCCTTTGAGTAGGATCTTTGTTGTAATACAGATTTTGTGTGATGGCGAAAACGAAGTTACTATGATGGCCTCCCTCCGCAAATAACTTGTTGATTCGGTGATGATGTCGTCTATTATGACAAGGTTTCTATTGCAGGGGTTAATGAACAAATCCTGATCTAACTGCGACGGTATCACGAAGGGTGACAGCCAAATTTTGTAAATGTTGACGTTGTCCAAATTGTGGTTGTAAATCGGGATCTGCGTCATGTTTGATTTGTGTACTTTCCGGTCAAAGGAACACTGGTTGTATTCTTCGATCCGAGCATGTTTCTTAATGACGTTTCTCTTGATGCTTTTGGCTCTTTTAGTCTCGACGTGTTGCGATTTCGTCCACCTACCCGTCTATCTCTCTTTCGTAGATGTTATGTCGTAGACGTAAGCATACATTTTACTTTTTAATGTTATGAAGACATGGACCGCGTTTCCAAATGTTTCGTCTTTCATCTTTCCCAAGACTTTCGTGTAAGCAACACTGTCTATATGGTGTTCTTTGTAATATTATCAGGTAGTGGTCATGTAGCATGTCCTCGTAGACGTCTTCTGTCTGTACATCATATGCCAAAATATCGGTGTCAGTGAACAGAATGGTTGCTGCTTTTTCTCCATACTTTCCCTTGACGTAGTTGTAGTGGAAATCATACATCACGGTTTTCAAGATGTCTAGGATGACAAAGACTACCTAGATAGGTCGATTCAAGTATAAACAAGTATACATGGCCATGAGGTCTGACAATATATTGTGGCGTGGAATCACGGTTTGCAGTTTGAGTTTATGAGCTCGCTTTACACTATTTACTGGTTTTTGCGCTCACTGGCTTTCTCAGGTTCTCCATGGTCTCTTCAAAGACGCTGTGATTTATCAACTTGTAGAAATCCTTTTCGAACTAGTTTTAGGTCATCTTTCTCCTCTCCGTGTTGAGGTCTATGTCAATTGTTTTTCTTTCTATATCGTTTAGCCAACAATAGTCGTTATCATAACTATACCACCGCGGAGGCCTTTCTCGATAAACAAATGGACATTGATTTCTGCCAGGAGTTCGAGCTGAACGCCCGTCATTTTAAGTGCCGCTTGTCATACTAGGCCCGGAGACTTGTAAACGTTAGCTGAATCGAGACCGTACGGATTGACAAAGACGTCAGCTAAGCCCAATGTATCTGATAGAACACCGAGGTAAGAATATTTGCTGAAATGCATTATCTGAAAACTGTTTCAGACAGACTGGGCGTGGTCGGATGCCTCTTGTGTGATCTTTCTCCAGACAAACTACTATTGAACAATTGTTATGGTGGAAGATATGTTTCATGAGACCTATGAGGTCCGTCAAAATATTCGCATGGGTAAACTTGTTTCTGCAACAACAAATCGAGATGGTCTTTGCCGAAATGTAGGGCCATATGCTTAGACTTTACACTTTCTTCTTTAACCAGATTAATCATCAGTTTATCAAAAGAGGTTTGGAGCAAGATATCGACTATATCCATACACCCAAATGAGAAGGAGATATATATATATTTCTCCATAATGTTTGGTACGCAAATATTCTCTTTGTTTTGGACTTTTTCTCTATGGACTGTATGATAAGGTGTGAATCGTCAAATTGTGAAATACTACAGGAATGCACGTGCTGCGTCGTTTATTTGTGTATTTTACATTCGGGTCTTTACAACATCCGAATATTGGTACTTGAAACGATTCGAAATCGGCATAGATGATGTATGGCGCATTTATTTGTTTCCTGAAGTCTTTGTAGAATAACCATATGTCATTCTATTTAGGAAGTTCGACTCTCTATGTACCGATCCGCGTTTTTCATCCAATAGTAAGGCGACTTTTTCGGTTGGCTATTATGAGCAAGTCGACGTGCCTATCAAACCGCTGTTTAGTGACGTGCATGGGAAACAATTTTCATACTCCATGTCTTAGACGGATATGTTTTTTTTTCTGTCTAAAACTTGGGTATGTCGGCCATGAACACAGGAAATGAGATTCCTGTGAAATTGAGCTCGATCTCTTGATTTTTTTATTTACTGACGCGCTCGGGATGATTTTTGGCCGAATGTATACAGCCAACACCGACAACATGACACATTTCTTGTCGTTAGTTTAGACACTGACGATGGCTTGTTTAGTTCTCAACTCAATCGGAAGAGATGTAACTAGAGGCCTGCATGGGTTGGTAACGGACTATATGTATTTGAGTTTTGAGAACCTTGTCGAGATTCCAGTTACTTCCCTGTCTCTGATATTATAGGAAAGAGGGATATATCTTTTTGATGGACTCGTTCATGCCGTTGTCCAGGTTTTCGGGATTGAGACTAATCTGGCATTTTATCTATAGTGCAGTATGACGCGCTCCACGATCTCCCTTTTTTTAAATATATTGATTCCGTAGAAATTTGGTACGTGTTGTCAGCACAATGTGAAAACACCGTACAGACAGAATATGTTATAAAGAAATTGAGCAAAGTATTGTATACACGAGCATGTTAATTTCGTTTCAAATTTCAGTACAATGTGTTTATACAGAAAGACTACCGACCTCAGTAGACAGTACAACGTGCATGTACCGTACAGTAAAACGACCGACTTTTGTAGTCAGTATATCAGGTGTGTGTTAAACATTTGTATTCAAATAAAAACAAAAATATTTACAATGTACTTGTTTTAACAAGGTTCTTGTCCTTGTTAACAAGACTCAGATATTGTTTTGTATACATTTGTGTAATTAAAAACCCTGAGATGATAATACGATGACACATATCAAGCCCAGGTTCATATCTATATACAGTATATTAAGGGGTATGCATGTTCTAGCAATTCTCTGTATCGGGTCTGTGAATGCCATATGCGTTCCCTATCGGGTCTGTGAATGCCATATGCTTTCATTTGGGTTGAATAGTATGCGTCACGTTATCTTATGGCAGTTTCTCGTTTTGCATTATAAGAGGCATCAAATAGATTACAAATCGACATATTTAAAATAAAACATATCGACATGGTCACGTATCCAGGAAAATATAGCCACTTTGTACCTGTACTTTAGTTTTCTCAACCCGGGGCATTTACGTAACTTGCGAAAGTGTGAAAACCAGATAAAGAGGAGCTATAGACCAAACCGAATGCAAATACCAAATACTTAACGTCCAGTTGTGTTTTCATAACTGTCATACGGTATCACATATCAGCTGTCTTTGTTAGACACATGCTAGGTAAAACTCCTGTCAATAATCAAAATGTTATTTGCCTGTTCTGTTACCTGGGAGATAAACCCATTATTGACAGTATAACGGTCACTGTTATGCTGTGTACATGTAACATGTATTGTACAATTTAACATAATCCTAATTAATTTGATGAGAACTATATATATATATACATATATATATAGTGTTTCTTATTCTATACGAGAGTTCCGAATTTTCTTCCTTCCGTAATGTTGTTCAACCAATTGTACCAAATCTCACATGTGTTCGGAAAGAAGCGCACAACGGGACGAACGATTGTTTAATCGCACAGCTGTGCGCACCATGTGTCATAGTCTTTAACCCTATATACGGGTAGTCCACTTCGCAATATCCTTTCTGCCACGGCAGATATTTCACCCGTCCACATCTCGTCGTATTCACGGCTAAATGGGTTACGGAGATGTGTCAATCTGTCAATCATGAACCTAAACGAATTTCTCACAACCTTCGTCGTATGTAGACAAACATCTTAAATTCGTAAATTCTCCACCAGACAGAGGTGTCGTTGCCTTAAAGACCTTTGATGGAGCCATGCCGTTAGTGCTATGGTAGTTATTGTTGTTACTATCGGCAAACAATTTGAGTTCTTCCAAACATTCATAGTTTCTTCTGTGTGTGAAATACCTGTACATGCGAGTATTGATTGTTTTCAATACCCTTTCAGTGACTGCTGTTTTTAACTCGGTCTCTACGAACAGGTGTCTGATGCCATGCTGTCGGAGGATCACCTGAACCCCTCTGGCCTAACAGTATTGCCCTTTGTCGGTACAAATCCTTCTCGGTTGTCTCCCCTCCTTATGCATGTCACGAACGGCGCTGGTAAGAGACACCGCTTTCTTAACCATTGTCCACAAGATCTAGGAGAACACATAGATGACCACAAGAACACAGGAATATCCCTCATTGTCATTCCAGATTGGTACCATATCCATAAGATCGGCACACCATTGGTCATCAATCCTAATAACGACTGTTCTGTTCTGTATGCTTCCTGTGTTGTAACCATTTCCTTGTCCTATATTTGCTGATGACTATTTCCCGGCCTTTCATTCGAATCTATACAGATTGTCGGGTCGGGAGAAACATCACACGTCGTCGCCGGAGGCACTGTCCTCCTCTTCATATTCATTGTCCTCATCTGCGGGTTTATCATCATCACCATCATCATCATCATACAAATGTTCTTGTACCTGGTGTCTGTATATCCTTAGAAACATGCGTATGACAAGGAGGGTTTTGTAATCGCTTCGCATGTACCTCTCCACATGCTGCATGTTTTTTGTGTCTATTTCACCATCTCTTAGCTGTAAAATAGTGTTGACTGTTCTCCCATATAAATTGAGACACTCCATCATATCTTCTTCTTGCATTTTGTTATCAGCCTTACTTACAGCGTCTTTCTTTCAGTGTACATTCTCCTCATATTCTTTCTACCTTCTCACACCATTTCGTGTTGTTGGCATTTGCTCTTTGGCGTATCTCGTTGAAGTATTCCCCCTCTTCTGAATCCTTCTCAGCGTCTGAGATATCGGGGCCATCGAAAATATCCGACCTCTGTCTCCTTGCCGGACTTGGGACTTCTTCCTAGTCTAGTTTTCTTTTACGGGTAATATTATCCGGATATCATCGTGTTAAATGCTTCTGCGGATCGAGCCAATTGTCAAACATCAGACCACAGTCGCCACATGAAGGCATTTCTTTCACTACGTCCTCCTGTCGAAAACGTTACAAAGAATGTTTTCTGGCTATGTTTGTTCTTGGTTATTCAATCACTGACAGATTCGTAGAATGCGTATGTCTTGTCGGAGTGCTGTGTGTGAAACAACTTTCCAATCCCATATCCGCACCTTTTATAGGCTGGTTCTTGAATACTTCACTGCACATTCGTGCTGATTATGGTGTCGACTGCTTCAAATCGACGAGGAGATATCCGTTCAGTTGACTGGTAGCTTCTTTGAAGTGTCTCATTAAATGTTGGACATTTTCTGGGTACATCTGCCTACCCAGAGTCATGACGTCCTGTTTGTCGATAGGGTTATTGAACAATACCAGGTAGTGGCAATTCCTCCTCTGTGTAGGATCTTTGTTATAATACCGATTTTGTGTGATGGCGAAAACGAAATTACTATGATGGCTTCCCTCCACAAATAACTTTGATTCGATGTTGATGTCGTCAATTATGACAAGATTTCTATTGCAGGGGTTAACAAATCCTGATCTAACTGCGACGGTATCCCGAAGGGTGACAGCCAAATTTTGTAAATGTTGACGTTGCCCACATTGTGGTTGTAAATCTGGATCTGCGTCATGTTTGATTTGTGTACTTTCCGGTCAAAGGAACACTGCTTGTATTCTTCGAACCGAGCATGTTTCTTACTGACATTTATCTTGATGCTTTTGGCTCTTTTAGTCTCGACGTGTGTTGTGATTTCGTGTACCTCCCCGTCTATCTCTTTCGTAGATGTTATGTCGTAGACGTAGGCATACATTTTAATTTTTAATTTTATGAAGACATGGACCGCGTTTCCAAATGTTTCGTCTTTCATCTTTCCCAAGACTTTCTGTTTAGCAACACTGTATGTATGATGTTTTTGTCATATTATTAGGTGGTGGTCCTGTAGCATGTCCTCGTAGACGTCTTCTGTCAAAATATCGGTGTCAGTGAACAGAAGAGTTGCTTTTTCTCCATACTTTCCCTTGACGTAGTTGTAGTGGAAATCATACATCAAGGTTTTCAAGATGTCTAGGATGACAAAGACTACGTAGATAGGTCGATTCAAGTATAATCAAGTGTGCATGGCCATGATGTCGTCTGATAATATATTAAAGGTGCGGAATCATGGTTTGCAGTTTGAGTTTCTGAGCTCGCTTTACACTATTTACTAGTTTTACGCCCACTGGCTTTCTCAGGTTCCCTATGGTCTCTTCAAAGACGCTGTTGTTCATCAACTTGTAGAAATCCTTTTCGAACTAGTTTTATGTTATCTTTCTACTCTCCGTGTTGAAGTCTATATGGGACTAAAACGTCTCGGGCGAATCGTCCGAACCTTTCGCAACGTCAATTGTTTTTCTTTCGATATCGTTTAGCCAACAAAAGTCGTGAGTCGGTAGGGATTTTGACATAACCAAGCCATACAGATTATTTGCGTCTAAATATGTGATGCACTCATTATCCTTGCTAGGGTCGTACCCGGGGATATACCTGTTGCTGGCCTCGGCATGTTGATTGGTTATCATCATACTATGCCCGGAGACTTGTAAACGTGAGCTGAATCGAGACCGTACGGATTGACAAAGACGTCAGCTATGCCCAATGTATCTGATAGAACACAGAAGTAAGAATATTTGCCGAAATTCATTATCTGAAAACTGTTCCAGACAGACTGATCGTGGTCGTATGCCTCTTGTGTGATGCTTTCTCCAGACAAACTACTATGGAACAATTGTTGTGGTGGAAGGTATGTTTCATGAGACCTATGAGGTCCGTCAAAATAATCGCATGGGTATACTTGTTTCTGCAACAACAAATCGAGATGGTCTTTGCCGAAATGTAGGGCCATATGCTTAGACTTTACACTTTCTTCTTTAACCAGATTAATCATCAGTTTATCAAAAGAGGTTTGGAGCAAGATATCGACTATATCCATACACCCAAATGAGAAGGAGATATATATATATTTCTCCATAATGTTTGGTACGCAAATATTCTCTTTGTTTTGGACTTTTTCTCTATGGACTGTATGATAAGGTGTGAATCGTCAAATTGTGAAATACTACAGGAATGCACGTGCTGCGTCGTTTATTTGTGTATTTTACATTCGGGTCTTTACAACATCCGAATATTGGTACTTGAAACGATTCGAAATCGGCATAGATGATGTATGGCGCATTTATTTGTTTCCTGAAGTCTTTGTAGAATAACCATATGTCATTCTATTTAGGAAGTTCGACTCTCTATGTACCGATCCGCGTTTTTCATCCAATAGTAAGGCGACTTTTTCGGTTGGCTATTATGAGCAAGTCGACGTGCCTATCAAACCGCTGTTTAGTGACGTGCATGGGAAACAATTTTCATACTCCATGTCTTAGACGGATATGTTTTTTTTTCTGTCTAAAACTTGGGTATGTCGGCCATGAACACAGGAAATGAGATTCCTGTGAAATTGAGCTCGATCTCTTGATTTTTTTATTTACTGACGCGCTCGGGATGATTTTTGGCCGAATGTATACAGCCAACACCGACAACATGACACATTTCTTGTCGTTAGTTTAGACACTGACGATGGCTTGTTTAGTTCTCAACTCAATCGGAAGAGATGTAACTAGAGGCCTGCATGGGTTGGTAACGGACTATATGTATTTGAGTTTTGAGAACCTTGTCGAGATTCCAGTTACTTCCCTGTCTCTGATATTATAGGAAAGAGGGATATATCTTTTTGATGGACTCGTTCATGCCGTTGTCCAGGTTTTCGGGATTGAGACTAATCTGGCATTTTATCTATAGTGCAGTATGACGCGCTCCACGATCTCCCTTTTGGGTTTCGAAAACTGAACCTGAATAGAGTGATAACATTTGACAACCCCTTGGAGGAGAGATTGTCTAATTCATTTTTGATGTCGTCATATTTATGTTTCAAAAGGAACATGGTATCAACTTTTACAACTCCCTGCATGGACATGATCATGACTTTGAAAGAACCACATTCTCCAGATTCAAAATTACCTGTCAAAGTTGACCCAGTTGTAGTTTTCTCCGTTTTAGTCGTCTACGGAAGCAACAATTGGTATTGTATTTGCTTTTTGCTTGGTCGCATTTGAAAAAATAATGGTTGTACATCCATAGTTTGTGTTATTTTCTTCATTTAGTTTTGGTACACTTTCTTCAGTTGTTACTTTTGTTTGACCGCCATTAGAAACATCTAATGATCTTCTCGTGGCTTGCTTTATCACCAATCGTCTAACTCACGTTATGGGTCTTAACGTGCTGTTGATACTTGTCGGCCCGTCCAAACAATTTCCTACAATAGGTGTGTGTTGGTTTACCTTGGGATTTGATGTATCTGGTTATTTTATCCTTTCTTGTGAACTCTTTGTAGCATACGTTGTATTTCCATTGTCTTACTCCATGTTTGGCGACGTGTCTCTGCAGAGTGTTCCGGTGGTCTAATACTATATAGGACAAGCCCATTTCCCCTTCTTTATGAACAGTTGTAGTTCCATAGATTTCCTCTGTGTATTCTTCGTCCTGTAAACAAAATGCTTGAATTGTTATTATATATGTACCATTGATAGACAAATATATTGAAAATATTATCCACAAAAGAGGCACATGATTAAAGGGCTTGAAACTGCTGAATAATGTTGTCAGGTCACGGAAACCAGATACATTGCATCAATTCTGTTATCCAGTTTAACAATGACACAGTTTTTTCAATGAGATGTGTTGGTAAGACACGGATGTCACGCTCCTTGTTTTACCTTATGTATGCACACACCTCTATGGATTCGCGTGCACACACACAGTGTAATGGGTGCTACGAGCTATGTGACACATGCTGTGAATTGGCGTGTGTGTTATTTTTAGCATGTCAACATTCACCCCATTTAAGTTAATTACAAGAGTACTTATTAACTTCAGGTAGATTTTCAAGAACATTAAACAACAAATGTATCAAACTTAAAATCGGGTATCACTATATTCTCCTCAAAAGTGCATAGTTATATCACTGATGCGATTCCAAGCAAAAGCCCGGTTGAGTAAGCACGGTATGTATTGATTCGTATCGTACGTCTGTATACAGTTGAAATACACGTATACGATGATATTAAGCCATAAGGCATGGTGATATGATGATCAGTANACCCACCCACCCCTACTTTTTTGAAAAGAAGGTTCCAGAACAACACTAGCGTTTAATTATTTAACTTCTCAAGGTGAAGGGGGCCGGTATGTCCTTACTTGTGTGTGCATCGGGTACCTTATTATCGCTTCAGTAAACACATTAACACATGTGTATATATACTGTCATGAACTATATTCGATTATATACATGTTCTAAGGTAAATTAAGTGGGTTTAAAACTGCATATGTCATGGATTAATACCGCAGACATTTTACTTGAATAAGGTAACCTTTATTTTATATAATATATGTTGTGTATCATTAATGTTATGCCTGTCAATGGTATATTGAGTACATGTTTAGTAGGTAGGTTTTCAATATGGCTGACGAAAATGTCCAACACACGTCTGAACATGTCTCGACTTGCCGGGCCGTTGTAATCAAGTTGGAACTGGTTTTTGAATGTTTAATACATATATTTATCGTCTTCTAGGCCTTTTTTATTTTGCTCAAGATTATAGAATGTTCCAGAGCAACACATCCGGTTGTAACCTGTTTTAGTATTGATAGGCATGATTTAAAAATAGATCAATTACGGATAAGACATGTACCGCACGTTAGGTGAGAGACGGAATCGAGGTGTGAGCAAATACCCGGTTGCTGGTGGGAGAGGACTTTGTGTCTTCCGTGTAAATAGTTGTTCCCTGGGTGAGTGTTATGGACAAATGCGATATTGTACCTTAGCATGTGATGTTTATTTTACAAACAATCTATGATAATCTGTTTATTATACACGTTTACCTGTACTGCAATGCAGACACACCTTTAACATGTTGGAAACATTTGTAACATGAACTGTTTATATTGATAGCAAAAAGCTAGTAAATATGGTAACATTTTAGTACGTATGTATATACGAGTATCAAACGAAAACTCTCATGTACATCCATGTATACATAGGTTGTTGGCGACTAGGAAATAGAAGAGTTATCCCCCCCCCGCCCCCACACACACACACACTCCCCCTCTGTTACGTCAAAATGACTTAAACAGTTAACTAACATAGTATCGGTTCTCAAAAAGTTAATGATTGGTTGTACAGGGTTCAATATCCTATCAACACCTAGGGTCATTTCAGGACAAAGTTCTCAAAATGTTTGTTTAAATTTGAAGTGATTAGACACAAAATTATGTGTAAGATAACAAATGTATGGCTTTGATTAAATGATGTTATCACTATTTAATGAAAATGAAACGGTACGCTTTTACACAGACCTAAATACTCAAACACGATGTTATTTAAGGAATGACCAATAATTTTTTTTTGTATATACGGTATATACCGAAAAAAAAATGTGCACTTTGCATAAATCCGCGAACCGGATTTAGTTTAAAAAAGTAAACAAACACGTTGTAAATGCACAGTTAAAGATTTATTTATTTTTTACGTCAACTATACAATTGCGCTAAAAAAAAAACAGCTGCGTTTTAATTTTGCATTCTGAAGTGTAAAAAGTAGTTCCGTCATCAGTTGTTTTTCTTTTTAGGTATATACGATATATACCAAAACAAATATTATGGTGGAGATAGGTAAAATTAAATTATTATAGGTGATCGATATGAAATATAAACAATACCGCTAAATGAATTATACACTACAAAAAATGGAAAATGTGCTGTATATCGGTCATACGGGAAACACTACTATGTGATAAGGCTTCATAAAGATAAAACTGAAATTATTTGTCAAAATCTTAAAGTTGTACCATTTGTTTTATAGAAACACTAGCCATTAGGCAACATATAAATGACTAAACCTCAATAAACCTATGAGGACAATATTTCAGTCTGATTAAATTGCATCGGAATTGATTAACAAATCATGTATATACTATTCCATGTGTTATGAATTGGCCTCTGTTTCTCTAAAGTTGCCTATCTTATTGGTATTGAATTATAATCACAGTCATTTTCTATTTTAGATTTGTGCTGACGCTTTCTGATCCTCAAAATGGCTGAAGGCGGTCTCCCTGCGGAACTTGACTTACAGCTACTGGAATGTCCAATCTGCCTTGAGCGACTTCAACAACCCAAGTCCTTACCCTGCCTCCACTCCTTCTGTCAGGATTGCCTAGGAACTTGTATCACCAAGGAGATGTCCGGGCAGATGGCGTCGGCAACATCATTTTCTTGTCCAGTTTGTAGAAGGATGACCCATCCGGTTAATCAGACAGAAACCAAGGATAAATGGGCAAAACATTTTCCGACTAATACTGTGATAAACGAACTTCTCCAGCTAAAGGAACGTTCGTCTGAACCATTGTACTGCAAACCCTGCCAGACAAAAGGTAACCTGAACAACCCAGCCAGTTTTTGGTGCAAGACGATGAACGAGAACTTTTGTGACACGTGTAAGGTTCACCTTCACGATATCATACATAATGATTGTGATATACTTAATGTCACCGGAAACCACAGCAAACGACAAAAAAAAGAAACGTCTGCCCCTCGGTGTTATCAACACGGCGAACAAATGGTTCGGTATTGTGAGGATCACCAAATTCTGTGCTGCAACGAATGCGTGATCGAAGACCATAGGAGTTGTGTAAAAGTACCAAAGGTGACGGCATATTGTCAGAAGGTAAAAGCAGGATCGCAGCTAGAAGACATGCAGGCGGCATTGAAGAAAGGAACAGAGAGTATGAGCTCATTAGTGAAGGACTTTGATGAACAGCTCCAAATCATGATACAGAACCAGGAAATCGCACTTCAGAGCATCTCAGACCTGCGTGAAAAGGTCGATAAACAACTTGACAAACTCCAGAAGGACATCACCGACGAGTTGATTACATTGTTCAAAAAAGAGAAAAGAGACATGGAGGCATCATCACGGCAGTGCGAACGTCTGATGAATGGAATGAAAAATACCCTGAAATCGTCCATTAAATCCGTAGAGGAAAACGACAACATTGAGATGATAGTGTTGTATCAGAGAGGACAGGCAGAAGTGGAGTCGTGTAGGACCCTGGTCCCTGAGTTGAGTAAATCATTCACATCCGTCAGCATCGAACATCAAATTGTTCCCAGACATGATATCATTAGGGGTAAAGCGATGGGAAAGATCGTCGTCGGAAAACAACCACGATGCATCCCTGAGAGCCATAGCGATTTAGTAAAATCCATGTCAGAACGACGAGTGAAAGAAATCGGAAAATTTAGCACCAAGTCCCTGTCAGATAAACAGAATAGCTATGCCCGTGGTGTTGTGTATGTGCCGAGTGCACAGATAATAGTAAGTGATTTCTACAACAAAAAGTTGAAGTTATTTACAGACAAAGGACAGTACCTGGACGAGTTGAATGTTCGGGGAAATCCCTGGGATATGTGTCTGGTAAACAACAACACGGTAGCGGTTGCTCTCAGCAGTCCTGGATGTGTTAACCTCATAGAAGTCAAGGCCTCAAAACTCTCCCTGACTTCTACCATCAAGGTGTTAAATGATAAAAACTGTTATGGTATAGCACATAAAGACGGGAAGTTGGTCGTTGGTACGGGTGGAGGAGAAGTATACAGTTTGAGACAGGACGGAGCAGCCGGGTTGGTATACAAATATAGCAACACATGCCGGTCCCTCACTCATGATATCAAAAGAAGAGACACACTTGTCAGTGTCAATAACATCACACAGGGAAACGTCGCGGTATCTAGACTGTCGTTTGACACACGTCGTACGGATGTGTTACATGTTGGAGTCGTGAAAGGAGCTATGGGGATAGACGTGGACATGGAGGGTAACATCTACGTGTGTGGGTTTGATTCCCACAACGTCGTTCAGATCTCTATGGACGGGACACACGTCAGGGAACTGCTGACGTCATCAGATGGAATGGTCAAGCCATGTGCAATAGCTGTTCGTGGTAACACATTTGTGGTCACTAATAACAGTACTACAAACGAGAGCAACTATATCCGTGTCTTTCAACTGTGCTAAATGAAATACAAAGAAAAGTAGATGTGTGCTGGACACTTGAAATGTATGCTTATATCTTGACGATAGAATAAACACCGTGCATATATCTATACAAACTTTACTTTAAACATATAAGTGCTGGTATAAACGCTGGAGGAATCAGTTTCTCTACCTATCAGCAATGTTTTAGTGTGAGTGTAGTAAATCTATAGCTTTACAACGAAACACATTAAATAACCAAATGTTTAAATTACATTCGTTTTCTTGTATCCATATCATAAATATGAGATAGGTGTGATGTGCTGGTTGTCACGAACTATACAGGTAGAGACGAAGACAAGTAAATCCGTATGTATAACTCGTGTAAATGGTATACAGTGAACACTTGGTTTGTTAGTCAATTTTCACACTTTTTGTTTATCCTTATGATCGAAAAAAAAAAAAAAAAAAATGCTCTAAGATGCATACACTGAAAATAATCTAACCAATGTAGTATGTCTTCACAGATACGCTAGGAATCATCAGTTTCAACTAAAATAAAAGAACATATACACACTGTCGCTATTATTCTAGAGTGTCATCTTTTTATCATATTCAATAATTATGTAACAATATTCATCTGATCTATAAACTATACAAACACCTAAACAAATGGGAATTAACGTATTTTTTGCAATTACTAACTGTCAATTATCTAGTGATGTAATCGATATATGTCAATTGTCAATAAGTAGTGGATAGGAATGAACCCTGAACATTAAATGTTAGTCTCTGACGACATGTCTTTAGACTATCAGTTTTACATGTCTAATATCAATGTGAATTATGTACCACAGGCACCAGGAACAAACAGTCAGCAATTACGGCCAGACGGCTCATTTTTATTTGACTTTTTACAATCCCATATTGATTCATGTTATCTTTATTTCGTGAAGAATAGCAGATATACACAATCACAGAAAAGGAGTAATCATTGATTTGTTTTATTTCTTTTTCTTCATCTCATGATACAACACTTGTTAAATATAAAACAATTATAACAATCCCGATAAAGTTACCATAATAATTGAAATATGCACCCTAATGACAATTATGAAAAATAAACAAATATTGCAAATCAACTGATCATTTACCTAAAGAGCATCGCATTACTGAATTATATTTAGAGTAGTGCTTGATTAGATATACACTATCAGATGACCTGATAAAAATACAGTAATTTCACAATGATACAAGGTGACAGCGGGTGTCCTGGGTGCTAGGGGATATGTTACGCATGCTGTGAATTGGCGTTGGTGTTATTTTTAGCATGTCAAAATTCATATTTTAGTTTATTACAAGAGCACTAATTATCACAAGAACTCAAGAAAATAGAACAACCATTGTATCAAACTTACAATCGGGCATCATAACATTTTCACACAAATGCATAGTGATATCACTGATGCAATTACAAGCAAAACTCCGACAGAATTTATGATACATGGCTAATAAAAACGAAGCATGTATACACAGTGTCTTACCGGTTGAAAGCACACAGGTATTTATTGCTTCGTAGTGTAGGTGTGCATACAATTGAGATACACATATACGATTTTAGACCATAGGGCATGGTGCTATTATGATAAGAATATTTAAATTATAATATTTCTTCACTTAGTGGTGAATTGATATCAAATATGGATCATACAGTAAGAATAATGAGATATCGATAACACAATTATGTCGGACATACATAATGTTTGAACATGAAAGGACAAGTCCAGACAGGTCGCATACAATTAAGTTTATTGTCTTTTCGTCTCCCCCCTCACCCCATTGTTTTTAAAGAAAGTTCCAAAACAACACTGGCGTCTAATTATGTAACTGTTCAAGCTGAAGGGGCTGGTAGGTCTTTACTGGTGTGTGCATACAGTACCGTATGCACACATGTGTAAATATACTGTCATGACCTATAATAGATTATATACATGTTCTATGGTAAATTTAGTGGGTTTAAAACTACATGTGTCATGGATTAATTCCGCAGACATTTTGCTTGAACAAGGTAACCTTTATTTGATATAATACATGTTTTGTATCATTAATTTTATGCACAGACATAGATTGAGTACATGCGTAATAGATAGGTTTTCAATATGGCTGACGATAATGCCCAACACACGCCTGAACATGTCTCGACTTGCTGGGCCATTGTAATCAAGTAGGAACTGGTCTATGGATATGAAATACATATATCTATCGTCTTCTACTTTTTCTTATTTTGCTCAAGATTATTGAATGTTCCTGAGCAACACATCCGGTTGAAACCTGTTTTAGTATTTATAGGCATGATTTAAAAATAGATGAATTACGGATAAGACATGTACCCCACGTTAGGTGAGAGACGGATTCGAGGTGTGACAAAAAACACGGTTGCTGTTGGGAGAGGAGTTTGTGTCTTCCGTGTAAATAATTGTTCACTGGGTGAGTGTAATGGACAAATGTGATATTGTACCCTAGCCTGTGGTGTTTATTTTACAAACAATCTATGTTATCTGTGTATAATACAATTTTACCTGTACTACAATGCAGACACACTTTTGCTGTGTTAGACATATACATACCGACACTTATTAATTATTTTTTAGCATATATTGTTTGTACTGTTAGCAAATAGCTAGTAAATATCGTTACATGTAAGAACGTACGAATGTAGGAACGTACGCATATTATTATATGCGTATCAAACGAAAGCTCTCATGTGCATCCATGTATGCAGTATTTTGGCGACATGAATAAATAAGAGTTACCTCCCCTGCTACGTTTAAGGACTTCAACCCTAGTATAGTATCAGTTCTCAACAATGGTTGGTTGTTCAGGGTAAAATGTCCTATCAACACTTAAGGTCATTTCAGGACATAGGTTTCAACATATTTGTTTAAATTTGAGGTGATTATAATACAGACTAATGTATTCAACATTACAATTATTTATCAAAAACCGACTGGAAGCTTTCAAAAACTAAAACAAATGGTACCACTTGTACTATAGAAACGCTAGCCTTTGCGCACCATATATCATATTAGACACAATGTCTTCCATAGATAGTTTTTTAAAATCAGAATTAACTATGAGATGAAAGAGGGAAACATAACTTAACCTAAATTAAATTACTTGGACAATATTAATGATGACTAAATTGCATCGGTATTTATTACATAATCACGTAAATAATAGTCCACGTGTTACTTATCGGCTTCTGTAGCTGTCTTTCTTATTGGTATTAAATTATAACTACTGCCATTTTATATTTCAGGTCTGTGTTGACTCATTCTGACCCGTACAATGGCTGAAGGCGGTCTCCCTCCGGAACTGGACTTACACTTACTGGAATGTCCAATCTGCCTAGAGCGACTTCAACAACCCAAGTCCTTACCCTGCCTTCACTCCTTCTGTCAGGATTGTCTAGGAACTTGTATCACCAAGGAGATGTCCGGGCAGATGGCGTCGGCAACATCATTTTCTTGTCCAGTTTGTAGGAGGATAACCCATCCGGTTAATCAGACAGAAACCAAGGATAAATGGGCAAAACATTTTCCGACTAATACTGTGATAAACGAACTTATCCAGCTAAAGGAACGTTCGTCTGAACCATTGTACTGCAAACCCTGCCAGACAAAAGGTAACATGAACAACCCAGCCAGTTTTTGGTGCAAGACGATGGACGAGAACTTTTGTGACACTTGTAAGGTTCACCTTCACGATATCATACATAATGATTGTGATATACTTAATGTCACCGGAAACCACAGCAAACGACAAAAAAAAGAAACGTCTGCCCCTCGGTGTTATCAACACGGCGAACAAATGGTTCGGTATTGTGAGGATCACCAAATTCTGTGCTGCAACGAATGCGTGATCGAAGACCATTGGAGTTGTGTAAAAGTACCAAAGGTGACGGAATATTGTCAGAAGGTAAAAGCAGGATCGCAGCTAGAAGACATGAAGGCGGCGTTGAAGAAAGGAACAGAGAGTATGAGCTCATTAGTGAAGGACTTTGATGAACAGCTCCAAACCATGATACAGAAACAGGAAATCGCACTGCAGAGCATCTCCGACCTGCGTCAAAAGGTCGACATACGACTAGACAAGCTTCAGAAAGACATCACCGACGAGTTAATTACCTTGTTCAAAGATGAGAAAAGAGACATGGAGGCATCATCACGGCAGTGCGAACGTCTGATGAACGGAATGAAAAATACCCTGAAATCGTCCATTAAAGCCGTAGATGAAAACGACAACGTTGAGATGATAGTGTTGTATCAGAGAGGACAGGCAGAAGTGGAGTCGTGTAGGACCCTGGTCACTGAGTTGAGTAAATCATTCACATCCGTCAGCATCGAGCATCAAATTGTTCCCAGACATGATATCATTAGTGGTAACGCGATGGGAAAGATCGTCGTCGGGAAACAACCACGATGCATCCCTGAGAGCCATAGCGATTTAGTAAATTCAATGTCAGAACGACGTGTGAAAGAAATCGGAAAATTTAGCATCAAGTCCCTGTCAGATAAACAGAATAGCTATGTCCGTGGTGTTGTGTATGTACCGAGTGCACAGATAATAGTAAGTGATTTCTACAACAAAAAGTTGAAGTTATTTACAGACAAAGGACAGTACCTGGACGAGTTGAATGTTCGGGGAAATCCCTGGGATATGTGTCTGGTAAACAACAACACGGTAGCGGTTGCTCTCAGCAGTCCTGGATGTGTTAACCTCATAAAGGTCAAGGCCTCAAAACTCTCCCTGACATCTACAATCAAGGTGTTAAATGATAAAAACTGTTATGGTATAGCACATATAGACGGGAAGTTGGTCGTTGGTACGGGTGGAGGAGAAGTATACAGTTTGAGACAGGACGGAGCAGCCGGGTTGGTATACAAATATAGCAACACATGCCGGTCCCTCACTCATGATATCAAAAGAAGAGACACACTTGTCAGTGTCAATAACATCACACAGGGAGACGTCACGGTATCTAGACTGTCGGCTGACAAACGTCGTACGGATGTGTTAAATGTTGGAGTCGTGAAGGGAGCTATGGGAATAGACGTGGACATGGAGGGTAACATCTACGTGTGTGGGTTTGATTCCCACAACGTCGTTCAGATCTCTATGGACGGGACACACGTCAGGGAACTGCTGACGTCATCAGATGGAATGGTCAAGCCATGTGCAATAGCTGTTCGTGGTAATACATTTGTGGTCACTAATAACAGTACTACAAACGAGAGCAACTATATCCGTGTCTTTCAACTGTGCTAAATGAAATACAAAGAAAAGTAGATGTGTGCTGGACACTTGAAATGTATGCTTATATCTTGACGATAGAATAAACACCGTGCATACATCTATACAAACTTTACTTCAAACATGTAAGTGCTGGTGTAAACGCTGGAGGAATCAGTGTCTTTACCTATCAGCAATGTGTTAGTGTGACTGTAGTAAACCTATAGTTTTACAACAAAACAGATTGAATTAACAAATGTTTAAATTGCATTCGTTTTCTTTAAATATGAGATAGGGGTGATGTGGTGGTTATCACAAACTTTACAGGTAAAGACGAAGACAATTATTTTCGTATATATAACTAGTTTAAATAGTATACAGTGAACACTTTGCGTGTTAGTTAAATTTGACAATATTTTTTTGTTCATCCTTATGATAGAAAACAAGCAATGCTCAAAGATACATACGCTGAAAATAATCCAACCAATGTAGTACAATGTATGTCTTCATAGATATGCCAGGAATCATCAGTTTCAATTTAAAATTAAAGAACCTAGACAAAATGTCGCTGTTATTCTAAATTGTCACCCTTTTCCTTATATTCAATAATTATATTACAATATTAATCTGATTTATTGAATATACAGACACTTAAACAACTGGAAATAAACGTATTTTTTTACAATGACT